GATGGAAGATACGTCCTGTCGGTCCAGAAGATGGTTGAGGTCATGACCCTTGGCGCCACTATGCTGGCCAAGGATAAGTGGTCGGAGGCCGAGCTGAGGCACTTCATTGGGAAGGCAACCTTCGGGTGTTGCTTCAGGAGGCCGCTCGGTCATGGTGCTGCTCACCCCGCTTATGTATACGAATTTAAGGGCAAAGATCGACCCCGAGGTGTCAGTCACCGACGCTTCACCCACGGGGGGGCGGAGCCGCGACCGCTGTTGAGTTCCAGGCAGCGCCATGCACCATTGAGAGAGATCCTGCGGTTTGTGCACAATGCGGAAAAGACATCCCAGGGCATGACCGTTACCCGTGTCCAGCGGTGTGTGGCGCAACGCTCTGTTCACTCTCGTGCGTGTTGACGCATCGGGAAGGCGCCGAGGTCTGCCCAAGGAGGACCTGGAGGATTCCAAAGTTCGGAGAGAGGTTTGCAGGTCGACGTGCACCCCTGAGTCACGCTGTAGCCATGGTGGGCAAGGTTGAGGTGCAACCACCCTATGACTGGTTCTTTGGGGACAACTTTTTCACCCAGGAGGGAAAGCAAACCTTGGCGGACTTGCTGGATGACCCATGCTTAGCCGTCGAACATTGGGCCCCTGAATGCAAGCTCTTTAGCAGAGCCCGTGGGCGGCCCATAACACTTCGGAATGGGCGAAGAATTCAGGGGCCACAGCCGGTTCGGGACGGTCACCACGTCATGGGCTATCCGTGGTTAAAGAGTGACATGAAAGCGAGAGTTCGTCGCTCAAACCAAATGGTGCTCCGGGCTTTGAAGCGGGGCAAAGAGGACAGGCGGGGGACTCGCTGCTACTGGTCGGTGGAGCATCCCCGGAGGTCTTGGATGTGGGAGTTCCGGCTCGTGAAGGAGATGGAAGAGTGGCCGGGGATGAAGTGCTCCATTGCCTCGCATTGCTGCTTTGGCAGGGAGAGGGTGAAGTGGTTTGCCATCCTGAGCGACCTCCCTTGGCTACAGAGGCATGTGTCTATGGACTGCCCGGGCCACCCAGGCCTTCGATCCTACGAAGTTGAAGAACTCCCTGATGGAACCCTCCGCTTCGACACTGAGGAGAGGCAGAGTATCCATGGGAGATGTGTGTGGCATACGCCAGGGCAGTCCGGGAGCAGATTGAAGCTGATGGTCAGTTTGACGCAGCGGTGGCCGAGGCAAGAGAAGCCCACTTCCTGGAAGAGATGGCTTTTTCCACTAACCGTCTGGCAGACCCGGACGTGGCAGCCCCTATGGCAGAGAGCTTGGCCTTGAAGGAGCAGTACATGGAGAAGGGCCAGGAGCGAGAGCATCTGGCAGCCCTTTTGAGGCATGCCACTTACCGGGGAACAGATGTCAGAATGTTCCTCGAGCTTGAAGGGCAAATGCATGAGCACCCTTATTTGGCCATGAGATGGCAATGGCGGACAATCATGTCCTATGCATGGCGTCAGGAGGCCCATATCAATGAATTGGAGCTCCTGGCAGTGGCCGTCTTCTTGAAGAGGCGAGCCCGTACACGATCCAAGCAACACCTTCGCTTTTTCCACGTGTTGGACTCGATGGTTTCCCGTGGAGTCTTGGCAAAGGGACGAAGCAGTTCGCGGAGGCTCAACAAGGTGGCTCGCAGGTGCAGTGCCTACATGCTTGCAATGGACAACTACATGTTCCCGCTCTGGACCATCAGCCGATGGAATTTTGCGGACAAGGCAAGCCGGAGCCATGAAGCGTAACAAGAAGAGCTTGCAGTACGCGGGACTGCGCCCGAGGACACTTCGAGCCTACCGCACAGCTTTAAAATTCGTTTGCCGGCGAAGGCTGAACATTTCCAAGCCACATCGACTGGATCAACAGGTTGCGGAATTCATAGACCTTTCTTACCAGGAGGGAGAGCCAATGAGCTACTCAGGACATCTCCTGTCGGCACTGAAGCGTTTTCACCCCTCCTTGCGTTTGGAGCTACCGGTTGCAAGCCAGTACTTTCGCAACTGGCAGCGCTGCTATGTCCCTTCTCGAGCAGTCCCAGCTCATTGGGAATTGGTGGAGGCCATGATGGGCTTGTCTCATGTGCAGGGTTACCGCGAATTTGCACTTCTAGTAGCCATAGGCTTCAACGCCACGCTGCGTACAAGCGAGATGCTTTCTTTGTCCCACCAACACATTGTTCTTCACCGGCAAGGCCGTGGCATGAGCATCATTATCCCAGGCAGCAAGACTTCCCAAGGCAATCCACAAGTGATTTTGGTGCTGGATGAGAGTTTAATTGCCTATGCTGCCTCGCTCATTCAACCCCAGGAGAAGGGCCTTATTTGGTCGGAGGGCCCGCATCAGTTTCGCCAACTGTTTGCCAAACTTCTTCGCCGAGGATGATTACACCCCCTACAGCCTGCGTAGGGGTGGGGCTACATGGTACTTTCAAAGTTCACTCAGCTTGGATGCCACGATCGCGCGGGGCAGGTGGTCCTGTGGCAAAACTGCCAAGCAGTATATTGATGAGGGTACCTACCAACTGGCCCAGGTCAACTTTTCCTCTACCCAGCTGTCCAGGATTCGCACTTGGCGACTGAGGTTTTGGCGGCTACGCCAGGAAGGCAGGAAGCGGAAGGGGTGAGTCCTTTTCCGCCCTTTTTTCCGCCCTGCAGAAGTGGAATGGTGAGGCATACAAGAGGCAAACAAATGACCATGCAAGATGGTCATGACCATGCGAGATGGTCGAATAGCTCTCTTGAGGGCTAGCAGCTGTGAAGTTCACTAGAGGTTCAGCTATGACGGCTGGCCTCACTGAAGCAACTGTGAGGTGCTCCTGTAAAAAGGATGCGTGGCTGCTTCAGAGAAGAGACTTTGGGGGACATATATATATATATACATGTGTATGTGTATGTGTATGTGTTGTTGTTGTTGTTGTTGGTGGTGGTGGTGGTGGTGGTGGAAACGAAAACTGCAGCCCCGTCGTTGTTTTTTGACCCCCCGAAAACAACCAGCCAACAAGTACTTTCACCAGTAGTGGTAGTGTTTGTACTAGTGCTAGTACTAGTGGTACTAGTAGCAGTTAGCAGTAGCAGTAGCAGTAGTAGAATCCGGTCAGCTAAACCTCTGTAAAACTTCTACTTAGAACCTCTACCCCCTACTAGAAACAAAGACTGCAGCCCCGTTGTTGTTTTTTGGACTCCCCCCTCCAGAACAACACCTCAAAAACACTAAACATGAACCAGCCCAGACGGTAGTCAAACAAGTCCAACAAGTCCACCTACTTACGAAACCAACATTTGCTCAAACCTTCAACCGTATCCCTAACCGTGTCCCCTTGAAGTTCCAAAGTTACAACATGTGACAATTATGTTGGGCGGCTGTTTTTCTACCAGCAACAACAACAACAAGGTACAAACAATAACTGCAGAGACAAAGGAAGTAGATATGTTGTAATAGGGCTGCAGCTTTAGTTTGTACCTTGTTGTTATAGTCCAGGTTGCAGGGGATGTTAGTTTCTTTTTTTTGGGGGGGGTGTGTTCTTCACCTAATGCAGGGAATCCTTGGATGGACCAATGAACCCCGCCAGCTTTGCCACGTTCTGCAGATCACTATTCAATTAGTAACGCAGGACAGTCCAAAAGCGTCGCATTTGAAGCAGTGCTGCTGAGGATTTGGATAACCGAGATTGCTTGCGCTGATCCCCGTTTTGACGTGTCCATGCAAGGTCAGGCCCGATTCATGCAAGAGGTTGTGCCATGGCTTGAGCAAGAAGAGATCATCGAGAAGTATGCTTGGTTCAGCTACTTTACCAACGACACCTGGCCCAAAGTCGCTTTAGGTGTGGCAGTTTAGCTGTTTTTTTGTCGGCATGCATGTGCACCTCAGGGATCCAGCGTCGCGGCGGAATGTGTTAAGCTCCAGGAATGGCGATACGTCATCACGACGCCGAATCCGGACGCCGGGCTGGTCCATGCGGATGGTTCCTTGTCGCAGCTGGGGCAAATCTATGTCAACTTGGGTGGCCGGCGATTGACCGAGTCCAACATCACCACCGAGGTCACCACGCCAATCATTGCATGAGATCCCCGTAGGGGAACCCGCTGGCAGACATCGCCTCTGAATATCTAGGGCCTAGGGCAGTTTGCCAGCTAATCCAGCGCTACCACCGCAATGGACTGGTGAAGATCAGATCCACCCGCACCTACCTGGATTGTTCAACAGGAGTGCGGCTTGCCTGAGTAGCACTTGTGGGACCATCTCAGTGATGATCCCTATATTATATACTTCTTTCAAATTTCTTCTCGTGTTGCTCCATGCGGGTTGGGCAACGAAGACTCTCATGCTTTGTTCAAATTGCTTACCTGTCGGTTTTATTTGAGGGGCTTGAATCATTTTGGCTTGAGTGCCTAGATTCACCTAGATGCAAGCTCTCATGTTTTGGCATCCAATGTAGGCTGCTGCGTGCATTGCGCGCACTGCGCCTGTGGATGTGACAGAGGCTGGCTACACACGCCAGCCTAATTTTTCCGCTCTCGGAAACCTCTGACGAGTTGTTTTTTTCAGGGCATCCTCAGAGCTGGCCCCCTCGTAGGGTTGGAAGGTACCACGGAGAAAGTTCTTTTTACTGTGCAGGATGTGAAGACCGGCAATCCGTTATCTCAATCTGGAGCTGTGTCTTTGGAGTGCCTTTTCGAACCCTATGAGCAATCCCATTTTCAGCTGGGCAGACATCAGTCCCAGAAATGTGAAGGGCAAAGGCCCTGTGGGCTGGAAGTACCTTTGATGGAGAGACCAAGATGTGCGCGGAGCTCCTTGACTCTATCACTGAATCCAGTAAGCCTAACTCCCTCGTATGAATTTGTAAAAAATGAAGGCCCCCAGCACCCCCTCGTCAGCTTTCCGTTCAGTGCTTGAATGGGTTCCCATTGAGTAGATGAGCGCCCTCATAGCCCCTTGATAGAACCAACATGGGATGTAGCCTGCTGCCTGGTATTGCCTGGTTGTCAGGAAGGGATTCTGGACCGTGCAGTCAATGCAGCGCTTCGCTGCGGAGTGGGATCCCCAGACCGATGCCCGTACGGCCCGTGGTGCCGCATCAGCGTTAGGACTGGTCTAGGAGACTACTGATCTTGGCAAGCTGCTGTACATCGAACACATTCATGACACTCGTTTTGTTGCATCATATTGCATCAGAATCAGTCTCAGAATCATATTTGATCATATTTGCACAATAAATCACAATTATATATGCAGCAGGGAGATCCCACGGATCAGGATCCGTGGAATGTTGGCTGAGTAAGCCCATAAGTGTTCTCAGGGGAGAGGGGCACCCGGGCATGTAAAATCAATAGCCAACATCTAGTATATACATAGAACCTGGATCCAACATGTAACATCTAGCAATGCCAGGAAGAGGCAGAGCGTTTTGAGATGGAACATGGTCCTTTCAACCACACTGGTTGGAGGTCTCCCTAGCAAAACACACGTCATCACATCGCACATCCCTTTATCATGTATTGTATGTGGTTAACAATATGTTCATTTGACATTGACAACTCGATACAGGACTCAACTCATGGTTTAATTTGTTTTAGCTTTTGGATGCTCCGAGGTCAGATCTCTCCGCTGAGTTGAGCCATCAGTCACTCGCAGAGTCGACCGATCCGATGTGCGAGCGTGGAGAGCACCACATGGCCTGGGCACGGGGTGGATTATATATAGAGGTATACGGTACAATGAGGTATATAGTAGGGACTTGAACCATGGAGTCCTACAACAAGCTGGATGATGCTGGCATGAGTGTTCCTTATAATGATCGGTACAACTTTGGACGTACAGAATTTGGACCATACTACAGCAGGGGCCACTTCCTGGGGCAGGGGTGGATCCACGTCACTTCAGGCAACTGAGAACCTAGAAAGTTGTTCCGAAGTTGTTCTTCAACAGGAACATCTTCCTCATGTTTCCTTGGTTTCTTATTTGTTACGTAGAAATCCCTACTGTATCCTACGGTAAAGACTGTTGTTGTCATATGCTGTCATGTTTAGATTGAACACTCCGCCCACTTCGATGGAAAGGACACGCCAGCTTGGCATCGCAGCGTCGCTCGCTTTTGGAACTTCCGAATCCACTAGGTGCCTCCAGGGGATTTTCTCTGGCTGCGTGCAATATGGCCTTGAGCGTCGAGGTGTTGCTGGGAAGATGCCTGGGACCCAGCGGACCGAAGCGAAGCATGCGGATGGCAGCATGTGCATGCACTGTGAGAAATATCAGGAAGTATCTACGAAATGCAAAAATGCGGCAGATGTGATCTGTACTACGCCAGAGGCCTCGGCATTTATATATATAACCTTTTTAGTTGTACAATAGTTTTTCTTGGTTTGTTTAAGCGCCTGCTTGACCACCCTGTCAAGGACGTAAAATGGAACTCCAAGATGTGATTGATTTGGCCAAAAGCCTTGTCGGCATAGCCTTGGCGCAAACACCTCGACTTGTTCTTAATTATATAGTCGAACCAGTTTCTAGTTGGTACAGCTGCAATGATACCACTCGCATCAGCTCAGCATGCAGGGGCATTTGGACAGTATCAGCGATGGCTTTTTGCTCAATACTGTTCGGAGAAAGCTAGGATAAATGTGTGCATTCTTTCATGTCGTGCTTGTAGATGGGAAAGGTCAGATTAGATCATGTGAAGCATTGCTGCCAACATATCCGGCAAGAAGATGCAAAATGTAACTTCAGTGAATCGGTGCATGTTCCCCAGTGCGCCTCCGACTCGGGGAACGTTCAGGTCCTCCACTTGCTTTCGTTTGGCTTTGGTGGTGATCGCTCAGCGTGTGAGGGGCCTAGCCTAGCTGCCTAGCTGGTTGTAGAGTGAAATCTGTGGCCATTCCAGGAAGAAGGGATTGGAAAGTCATACCACCACAAGACTTCACCCTGCAGGCGAAGATGGACCACAGAGTGGAGTTTGTTTTGTGAAAGGCTGTTTTTTGATTGCATGTATTGCCTTTGAGTGGTGTCCTGCTGGGGTCTCCTGTGTGATGATCTATGGCGTGGGGTTTGGCGGGTACGATTCACTACACAGGCTCGTGACGCGGCTACTGTCGCTGCCCAGAACGCAGTACAGGAGTTCTCATCAGGATGCAACTGTGAAGTTGAATACCTTTAGACCATGCCATGTGGCCATGTGGCAGGATACTGATCACCGAACCTGAACCCAGACGTAGGGTCCATGTGCCAAAGAATGCACATATGTACTGAAGCTGCCTGCTGCAAAGCTTGAGGGCTTTCAGGTGTTTGACCTTTGCAGGTTGGTTTACATGCATCGCTGATGTCGAGATGGGCTTAGGTACATAGTGCTCCTGGATGTACACCCCTCATGCGGGAGCTGGCCTCAGTGTTTCTGAATCGTCGCTTTGGCTGACCGGGTTGAAGATGTTCAGATGATCGAAATTCAGGGTCCAGCAAACCGTCGGCACGGAAGGTTCGTGGCAGCAGCACCCACCAGAATGTAAGCATGCAGAGGAGAGCCAACGACAACAAAGGTCAATTCGGTTCGAGGTGCCAGCGTTACAATCTTTCAATGTGCAGCCCTCCTTCAACATTTGATAGGCCCGTGTTGGCCTGCTGCAGGTTCTTTGCAAACTCCTCGTTCTTCTCCTCAGGTGGTACATCATCCTTTGAAGAATCATCTCTCTTTGTTGGATTTTACTGCCTTCCCGTGCTTCGAAGTTATGTAAAACATTGGCATTATTCCCTGCACGACCGGCAGCCACAAGGTTACAAAGTCCCATGTGCAGGAATTCATGCCCTTGCTCCTCTAAAACTAAAGCATTCTAAGATGGAGCGGTTTCCAGCTGGTTGCTGCGCAAACGGTTGCCGTTCTTCGGAAAATGAGCTTTTTGAACACGAAGGATGCTCGGCGGGCAAAACAGATTAGGAGGGTCTCTTGAAATGTCTACGTTCACCATGTTTGTGATTGAAGTCCTGTGACAACACCTTGCGTGTTTCTGAGTTTGCATTTTGGTGAGGAAGTTTAACGCATGTTTTGATCTCTGACCAAATAAGAACATGGGAAAATTTAGAGGAGCTTCATTCCAAAAACGAACTGGGCACGTAAAGTATCGTAAAGTGGCCATCCCGGCGGAAGGGATGGTGGAGGGTCAAGATAAACTGTATGCATACAGAACATGACAAAACACATGTAGATGTATATAGTATTATATATTTATATGTATATATATATGTATACACTACAACGATAGATGCTCGCGTTATCTCACGTTGTTTCTACTTAATGGAAGGGCCCAAAGCCTGGAAGCTTCGCCCGTCTCAGACCGGTCTGAGGTGGCCATGTTTATGTTGCGGTTGAGTTGGGCTCTCAGTTATTGCTGCACAAGTTCTTGGGGTTCCCTGTTCAGAGCAACACCTCCGGCAGCCGAGCGAAGTCCAGCACGCTTCAGAGCGAAGGCTGGCTGTGGACACCGGCACGACCGAACAGTGATGCACCGTTTAGTGATGCTCAGCTAGACAAGATCGACCATCTAGCCTGTTTTTGGTAGCTGTGGGTCCAAGGGTGACCACAAAAAGGTCAAAATGGGTTGGTTGATTAATGTAAGACACTAATCGTGTCATCATGGGCAAGGGGGCAGCAGAAACATTCTTAGGATTCTTCTGTTATCTCCTGTTCTTTCTCTGCAGACTCCTCACAGAAACCTTTTCACCTGCACTATTTGCGCCTTCAATGCGGTGAACCAAGAACACATTCCACACACGAACACTGAATCGAGTCGGGCACAAACGCATTATCAGCTCTGTGGGGCAGCATGTGTTTGGAACATTTTGGAACCCATTGGGTTGACCGTCCATGGGACTGGCATGTTGAGGTTGACCCCTCAAACCACCCCAAGGCAAGTAAAGCCGATGTCATAATTACATAACAATTACTGTATATATATACATGGATTCTGTGGAATGGTTGGCCAGGCAGAACAGCTCGCTCACGTTCCCCAGGCATTTGCCGTGGAGCCTCCGACCTGGGGGTGGCCGCTCGTGCAGTGGGGATGCCAAGAAGAGTTGTTTTTGTTGGTTGTCAAGCTTGTAAACGATCGCCCGCTCCATCCGGACTTGTGGCATCACCTTTGGTGGATTCAACATCAACCCCTTTGCGTGGGAGATTTCCACTCACGCGGCGATTTCACACTCCAAAAGAAGGTCCTTTGACCGCAGGAGTTGACCTGTCTTTGGATTCTTGTATGTTTTGGGTGTTCCTCTACGAGCCCTCGCCCATAGTCCTGGTTCTTTTGTCAGAGGACTAAACCATGTGGCTCCTTTCGATTCTTGACGGTTCTGATTATCAGAGGTGATGGTTCCAAGTAGGTCATAGGATCGCCCAGCGGGAGATTGGATCGCTGATGGTTCCCAACTTGGAATTCCTTCACTGAAGGAAGGGACAGCCATTCCAACTGATGCTGAGGTGCTGGGAAAGCAGAATGCCAAGAGATTTTGAGTCCGACCAGGTGGGGAGTGACTTGATCGGTCAGTGACTTGGGTGCACCAGTTGCTCCAAGTTTGTTCCATCGATTTGACGAAGCTCCTTGATTCCTTCCCCATCAGGATGTCGTAAAGCAAGCTTTTTGCTAAACGACGGGCAAGCAACTTGAGGAATCTTGCGAAGCGCTGACTGAACACTTCTGAAGCAACCGAGCCGGCAGGAGTGCTTCATAAGCCTTGCCGTGCGGTGTTTGAGGAGTTTGCCAGGGACTGTCTGTGGCAATGGTGCTGATAATTTTTGCACGCCAAGATAGTCTGCAAGATATTGATTCATTGATTATCATTATGATCATTTGCTTTCAAGGGAACACCCAGCCGAGTTTGCAGAGCTGTACAGTCGCCGGGCAGAGCTGTGACAGACTAGGATCCTGGATATTAGGATCCTTGCATCACATGCGTAAATTCCTTTGACAGACCGTTTGACTCTCCGGTTTTTGGGCATCAAATCCGCGCCAATGCGCACCCGCCCGCGGGGGCGATTCCCATCGGTTCCGTCGACCTGTCGAGTCATCCGGTCGGTCTGTCGAGTCATCAGGGCTTGTCGCTTCAGGATTCAGATGTCACTCAGACGCTGTTTGCAATCATGTATATGTAAGTGGAACAAATCCCTGTTTGTCTCTGTTTGTCGAGGAAGGATCAGGAAGGTCTTATTCCCAAGCACTGTTGTCCACTTCCATATTTGCTCTTTGTTGCACGAATAGGAGCCGCTTGGACGGAAACGAATTGGACGGGAAGTTTGCGGAACAGACGAGGGAGTTGAGACCCTGAAACTTGGATCGGGAGAAGTGTTTTCCACACACCGCCCTTTTCCATCCCTTTCCGCTTCCATTGGACTTATCACCCATTAGCCTGAAGCATTTGACAGAGACCGCATGGGGTCCTCATTGAGCGACAGCCGGCGAGTGCTGCATCCGGCCAGCCCGTTAGCTCTTAGCTTCGCAAATTAGATCATTATTTTCTGCGCGGGGAAGGGTGGGTCGGAATGGCGCTGTCGCAATCTCGGGCTTTGACCCGATTTCCAATTGAGCAATCAAAACATCCCTTGATATTCCGAGAGGCAACTATGTTATATCGATCTGTGGCGCAAGGAAAGCATTGTGTTGCGTAAGGTTGCGAAAGCTCCATGTTGAACACACTTGTTGCGTAAGTATGCATAAGTACATGGAAAAAGGGGTTGCTGTCACGCAAGCAAATCCTTTGGGGGAACCTTTCGTACTCACAATTGTGTCATGGCGTAAGCTTTGCGCAAGACTTCTGTTAGCCAAGCGGAGCGCTCACATAAGCCAAAACAGTGGTTGCGCAAGCAGCAAGCACGCGCAAGAAAAAGCGTAAGAATTTGATGCAACATAGAGGTTTACTGTAAACTAATATATGGGTCGAAGCTCAATAGGATGTGCGCAGGATGCTAAGCTAAGATCCATTGTGAGTTGGTTTGGCTACACGCATGCATATCACCCGGGACAATGGTGTTCATTTCAGGATTCGCTTTACACAAGAGTGCATATGGTCGAGGGCTTCTAACTTCTTACTGAAGCGTGTTTTTCTGCAGGTTCTGCAGGCGGTTCTGGTGTCAGGTTGGTGAAGAATGTAAAACCAGTTCTGTTTTCGGCCCTTTTCAATTGGCGGCCCACCCGACCCATTGAAGGCCTTTGATGGCTGATGGACCCGAACACGCGTTCTCATGCGCTGGACAAGCAGAAAGTCGGCGACTCTGGGGTACTACAATGCATTCACAAGTCAACAGCCCCATTTGTTAGGTTTCGTTCTCAGTGTGTCCTTTGTCATCCTGCTTCCTTTGATTCTGGCCGCTCACCGGACACAGACTCGCTTTGGGCTGGTTTGGAATGGGATTTGTAGATGCTTTGGGCTTCAAGCCGGGTCCAAGTCCTCAAAATGATGAGCTGATCGACCGCTCATTTTAACGTGCGCCTACCCGTGATTCAAAAAGTAGACTTAGGATTGTTATGGTCCCATCATGTCCTATCCTATCCATATCTTGTGCACCGGCAGAATTCAGTGGTTGTCAAAGATGTATTTTTGCACCGCTTCCCCTCGGCCCACGAACTGCAGAAGTGGTTCCGGCTTTGCTAGTGGTTCCGGCTGCTTAGGGTGTTTGAGGGTAATAGTAAATAGATCCGCTAGAACCATAGGCCCACTCTATACTGCATACAGCCTCCTCCCTCCAAACCATCAACGCCAGGGCACAGTTCGTTTTCCCCTGTGGCCTTTGGCCTTTGGATTTGTAGCATGCTGCCGCTGCATGTTGCTCATGCAAAAACAAGGCATGGTATGCAAATTGGCGTTGTGATTTCACAGGTTGGATTCCCCAAGATTCAAAACCATTTTGAGGAAAGCCTGTATGGACGTTTTTATTCAGACGAAGGGCTCGAAGCAAGTGCGGTACTCACCGTGTTTGCAGGGCCATGGAGTTGCTTTGCAGATTGAGGCCATTTGTGGAAGCGTGCTTGGACGATATCGTGGCTCGCAGCAAAAATTGCAGGACATGATATCAACAGTTGCTGGAACTCGGGTGCGACTTGGCCAACGAGACTGCCAAAGGTGCGCAGGGGATCCACGTGGAGGCGGGACAAATGCACTCGCATGACCAACTTTTACCTTTGCATGTTGCTGAAGACGATCTGCAGTTGGGGGCTTTCGAACGCGGCAGATTGGCATCGTCATAGAACACCTACACTGTACTTCGAAGCTCAGGAGCCGTGGTCACGAGAAGAAAGTAAGTGCCAAGCTGAAACTTGAAGTGCTGGAAAGATCAAAGCACAGTATGTCCTTGAAGAAGTACACGCAGCCTACTATCCAAGAAACATAGTGTGTGGTGTAAGATCAGGCCCACGAGCACCATGACTTTGGAGGGCTTCAAAGATCGGTTGGCCAGAGAGCACAAGCTGAAGCAAAATGCTTTTCTCCTGCTTCCAGCACTTGGTGTGCCCTTGAGTTCCGCGACTGGCTGGCAAGAACCAGTGTCCAGTGACACGAAGCTCTTGCCGCTTTTGACAGACGGGCAGGCCAATGCCATGACTAAGGTCATGGCATCAGCTGCAATACCTCAGGCCCAAAAGATGAAGTATGTTGGAGACTGGAGCAGTCTGGCAGAAAGCCAAGCAGTCTAAGGAGTCTAGGTCAAAGACGAGAAAACACTTCAGGGCAGGAATGCTGATGATTCTGAGGAGTCTGAATGAAGGAACATTTGCTTGGCCTTGACCGTTTCACGCAACAAGTTGCAGATCTCCTTTACTTTGAAGGCAAACGAGGCAATCAATGTGGGTCTCTAAGGAGCCCTGGGCGCGTGCCCGGACTCGCGATGGGTGCGGCCAGAGGGAAAACAGCAACAAAGCACAACCTGCATGGGTCCCACGCCAGGAAGCCACCAAAGCCTAAATACTGATAACGTTGACCTTGAATAAAGTTTATGAGATCTTCCTTGGTTCTAACACCCTTTAGCATCCTTTAGCTAGATTTGCTTCATCCAATCCAGTACCGGCTGCAGGAATCCTCGCTCCTTTCTCAATGCAATAATACAGCCCCTTTCTGAGGAGAGTCCTCCTCCTCAATTCTCTTTGGTTTCCAGGAAGGGCCTACCCTCCACAATGCAACATAGTTCAATCTCATGTTTTCACAATGCAACATAGTTCAATCTCATGTGCATTGCAGAAAATAACCCTGGCCAATTCTCGCCTGATGTAGAACAGCTTAAAATCTTAATAAGGATACTGTACATGTGGGGAGGTCTGCTGTTTATTACTCATTATCCGAGATTGTCATTGGATGAGAAGGGTATGGAAAGATCAACGGAGAGAGGAAGAGCTCTTGGAAGATCTCCAGCATGCACAGTATGTGCATGTATGTGCAGTATCGAGTTGAGCCTTGTTTGATACGGTGTTTTCGCTTGTTCTTCAGCATGCAGATGGCCAATTTGTTGAATTGGTTCACGACGCAATTTTTGGTCACCGACCCTCAAGCATCGAAGCCAGATACTTATTTTCATTTTCATCACCACATCCAACACACATGATGTGAAAGACGCACAACATGCCGAGTCCCACATGATGCGATGAGATGCCTGGAGTCCCACAGGGTCCGGGTCTGGCTACCGTGATGAAAGGGACCGTGGTGGAATTCAGGTTTAGACCGTGAGGTCCCATCGGTGCCGATCGTTCGTTGGCGGCAGTTTTGTAAATTCATATGTTGTTTCATTCGGTGTGGGGAAATGATTGTTTTTGCGAACATGTTGCAGCTTGCCGCCAGCGGAATTCAATTTTTGTAGCTTGATTCTTGATGTTGGGATTTGGAAGGTTTGTAATGCAAAGACCGGATTAATAAACCTCCCCCCCCCACATGGTAGGTCAACAAGGTCAACAAGGAATGAGATAACCACTCATGAGGTCCACTCCCCCTGAATTATCGGCTCAGGGAGCCATCGTAGTCGCAGTCGTCGTCGGTAGTAGGTAGTAGGTAGTAGGTAGTAGTAGGTAGTAGGTAGTAGGTAGTAGTAGGGTAGGTAGTAGTAGGGTAGGTAGTAGTAGGGT